CGTGAAAATAATACAACACAGATCAAATATTGTTGAATATTAAATGTCCCCAACTAAGCAAGCCAAAAGCCAAGGAACCAAAACTCCATCAGGCGATTGAATGGAGAAAAAACCTTGGGAGAACCCAGGCTCCTCTGGCCAACGAAAGAACAGTGATTTACAAAACAAATTGGATTGAAACATTAAGAGAATTTGTCCATTTCAATCTGTCTGTGAGTCGAAGTAATCACGCCGGTTTGGAGACGAGATGTTGAGGTTCATTGCCGATGGCTGTCGTGTCCATGAGTCGGGATGGGTCCAGGCTCAGGTCCACCAGAGGGTCCCTCGGGATAAACAGAGAAACTAATATTAGCGTAGACGCCATCCTCTTTCTGATGTACTATGTACATCAGGATTCGGCTCCGGCTGATCGAAACTATGCAGCCTAATTTTGAATTTAGGAAGTTCAATGATCTAACTTAATAATTAACTTTGCCTGCTTTAAATGCTTTGAGAATCTTTTCTTTTTTCACTGATGATGTCGAAAGCTAAAGTGATTATAATTTTTGTTATCTAAGCGTTCAGGTGAAATCCTACATTTTCAGTTCTTTTCTTAGAAAGACCTTTACCTTTAAAGAATAAAAGGTTAAAGAATAACAACAACTTTAATGTAGTCTGATTAATATTTGAATTATACACGTCATTCTTCAACTGGTTTTTGTTATGATGATTGGTTCAAAATAGCGGCGTAAGTTTCCAGCCTTACAGCTACAAATATGTTTGTTCAGTTTGTCCGACCAATCTGTAACTCACACTGTTTTCACAATGTTGCTTGTGTAAAAAATTATATGAATTTAACTTTTTTTTTTAATAATAGAGCCAAAACCCCAATGTGTAAGGTTAGACATCTGGCTCCCGTTTGCTTGTTCTTCCTTCTCATTTTCATATACCTTTGTCATATGATGAAAGATCAATATCAATATAAATGTCTAATCTTCTTTGGCTGAGAAAATAACATTTGAATAAGTTATCATCTTTCAAGGAAGAACAAGCAAACGGGAGCCAGATGTATGCGGAGTGCAAGGCACAACCTTACATAATTTTGCTTTTGGTTCCATTATTAAAAAAATTTATTACGTTTTTTTTTTCAACAGTCTGATGAAAGATCAATATCTAAGTTAGATGTTAACTCATTCAAATGTTATTTTCTTAGCCAAAGCACCTTTTTACACCTTCACTTGTTCCGCTAAGGCTCAGGTTTCCCTTATTTACCACATTCATCTTAGCCTTATGTGACCTTTCCTTCATTCCACTCCTGAGTAAGTATAAATATAGAAAGTATGCCTGAGTTTTATCATCAGACCAGAATCCAGAAGTCTTGACAGAGCTCGTCAACTCTGAGGAGAGAAACAAGACAAGAAACAAACGTAAGAATTATTTGCCATATACATGAAATTTCAAAATATAAGTATTGCCTATTGATTTTAGTTAGCAGTCTTTCACAGAAACATGGAACCAATAACATAAAAATTTCAGCTTTGTGGTGTTGAGAGTAATTGTGAAAAGCTTTTCTCCTTTTGTTTGCAGACTCGTCCTTTACAATGGCATGCCCATTTTTGGATGACATCGTAGATTATATTGAGAAGGCCTTTCAGACGTGAAAGAGTGTTTCGGGACAGGTCCGACCCATTGGCTTTTCCCAACAAATACCTGCAAGAGCGTTAGGGTAGAGTGGGGGAAAAGGCCCCCCTTATATTAAGGAAAATGTGACATTACTGTAAAACAAAACTCGAATTGCCATCCCAGTTTTGAGTGTCTATGGCAGGAGTTATTTACCAAATATTAAAATTGCTCAACCTTCATAATTAATTTTTTTTGTTTGACTGAAAATATTTTTGTACAAAGGGGGCGTTTTGCCCCAGTGGTGGGGTAAAACGCCCCCTTTCTTACCAACCAGTTTCTTCATAGATCAACAGCAAAATGAACATAGTTTTTAATCTCTAAAAGTAAAAGGCAAGTAATGCAACAACATACTATATATACTGTATATAGTAGGCCTATATAGACTTACGAGGAATTGAAGCACATCATACTCAGAAAAGGAAACACTGCCGCTATTATAAAGGAGCGAGAAAGGGCATGGCAAACAATAGCGGATCGACTGAATGCGCTACTGAAAACGTCATAATTATACATTCAAGGAGTTACTTGTCATTTGCTCAAATGAACAACTGTACAACTTGAACAAATTAACAACTTAAAAATGAACAGTGGAAGTCAATGTTTCTAAAGTGTCAATCTGACAGAAAGCTGATTAATTTATGTTACTCTTTTTTGTTACACATCCTATAAATATTTATACAGAACAAACATGACTGGACCAAAGAGGACCTGGCAACAGGTCAAGATCAAATATAAGAACATTTTGCAGACTGGTAAGTGTCTGATCAATTTTTGGGACCCAACAGTCTGCACAGGTAGCGGATGCCATCCCAGGAAAAAGAGTAGGGTAGAGTGGGGGAAAATGCCCCCCAAGGGGTATAGTTTCTCTTTATCATAATTACTACAGTAACATATTTCTGTTTATCAAAGTCTTTATTTTACACTTTAATGCATTATAACTAGGCGGTAAAATCAAAATATTTGAACAAAACATGAAAAAGTGAGCATTAGCTAGCTATGAATGCAATGATGCAAAGGTGACCCAATGATAAAACACAGTGTCTTTTAATGCATTTATGGAATATATTTCACTATTAATATACTAGAAATTTGGCTATATTGTACATTCCTGAAATAAATATTAATAGGTAGCCTAAATATCAATCTCAACCAGCTGAATAATACAAGGATAGACATGAATCTGTTTTAATTCTTTCAAATAAATACTATAAAATTGCATGAATTATCCTTAAACAGACCAAGGTGGAGAAGGTTACAAAAACATACTTTTTAGCATCAGACAATACATTTTGATGTTAAACCCACTATTGTTTTATGTCTGATCTCATGACATTTCACACTTTTTTCATACATATTTTACAATAATTCTTCATACGAATTTGTACGAGTGCGGTCGTAATATTTAGACACCTCATAAAATGCATACGAATCCCTGTGAGATCAGATTGATCTATACACAGTATTTACCTCAATTACATCAGAAGTAACTGTAATTAAATTACAGATAAATTAAGAGTAATTGTCACAGTCCTCCGTCTGCACCAGTCTGTCTTGTCTTCAGCACTACACTTCCCAGGATCCCCTCGTCACCCTATCCCGTGTTCACTCCCTCATCAGCCACCTGTTCCTCCTCTTGATCATCTTTTTCACCCCATTATGTTTGATTCATCTGTGTATTTAGTTCCCTCAGTTTTACTCTGTCATTGTCGGTCGATGTTTGTTGTTAACCCGTGTGGTGCCCGTGTTCCTGTCTTCTTACTAATTACTTAGTAATTAGTTACACCCAACACTGGAAGTATGGCGCACGCAACTTATCCATTGTAGCATCAATGAATCTGTGATTGACTGTGTGGTCTGTTGAAGAAAGCTGTTGACCCACTTATCTGAATTACTTACACCTGGCTTGACATAGCCGCTCCTCCTGAGCCTGGTTTGGCCTTTGTGAAACTGATAAAGCCAGGATGCACTGATCACACTAGGTCAAGCCCAGCTTTATCTCTTATCCTGGATTTCTAAATTCTGCTTTTGTGAAACAGCCCTCTGATCTAAAGTTAAGCCAACAACGTATTTGAACGTTATCTTTAACATCTCTAATGTAACGTTGGTCTAACATTATATGTACATTAGAAAACGTTAACATTAGCTTCTGCGGTGTACATCATGTCACTTAGCTTCATTAAAGCTAGGGTATACGATTTCAAAGATTGTTCATTATTAATATCCTTGTTTAGATGCTGGTTATGGTTATATAGTACAATCCTAACAATATGAATAGAAAAAAGAACGAAAAAAATCCATTCACTCTATTGGCTGTACAGCCGCAGAAAAGTTGACCAATGTAAGCTGTGCGGCCGCACAGTTTATATTGGTCAACTGCTCTCATCCAATCACCAGCTCCACTTGAAACTCCGCCTGGTGCTCACGTGCGAGCAAACAGCTGACAGACTGTCTATGGTAGCTAGCTAGTAGCGTCAGATCAGCAATGGAAAAAGCAATGGATAAAAATATAAACGACAACAGCAAGCGGCCCCTGCTTGCCCCTACTGTAAAGTTTGGACGAAAGAGACAGTCTGTGGAGGAAAGATCAGAGATTAAATATAAATGTGAAGAACGCCGGACTCTAAGTAGGATAAATACAGCGTCCTTCATTGACCGTTGGAGAAAGCTTCAGGGAGATCTGGGACTGAAAACGACGCTGACACGGATGACTTTTTGTTGAGCAGGTAAACATTTATTTATTCTTTTATGGTGTGACGTGTTACATGGCTTTTTATCAGTTTGACAACTTGCTCATGCTGCCGGTCGGCATTGAATATTAGCCGTTTAGCATCGCCTATCACGGGTCAAAGTAATTATATTTCTTGTTCGAGGTTTCTGTTCGAGCCGATCGGAATTTGAACAAGTTGCGCTGCGTGCCACAATAACAATTACTGAAAACCTTAGCAATACTAGTAGTATTATAATGGTGGTGGGGAGTTTAGAACATTTCATGTGTTGCTAATCTTGCATTGACGTCTTGCGTTGACGTGAACTCAAATGTGACATACGTCAGGGATCAGGTAGCACAGAGGGGAGGGGGGTGTGTGTGGAGGGGCGGGATGAGTTTTTTTAAAATTTCCCTACCGTCTCGACCGATTTTTAACACCGTATACCATAGCTTTAACGTATCTGTAAATAACCGAGATAACAAACGTTAACAATGTTGTGCTGAATGATTCATGTAAATACTGTAGCAGCAAATGCTGATGGCAACGATATGCGGGTTAAGGCTCAGGTTTCCCTTATTTACCACATTCATCTTAGGCCTCATGTGACCTTTCCTTCATTCCACTCCTGAGTAAGTATAAATATAGAAAGTAGCCTATGCCTGACATTTATCATCGGACTCCAGACTCCAGAAGCCTCGATAGAGCTCGTCAACTCTGAGGAGAGAAACACAAGACAAGAAACAAACGTAAGAATTATTTTGCCAAATTAAATTTCAAAATATAAGTAGGCCTAGCCTATAACGCTTTTAATAAGGAGTCTTTCACGGAAACATGGAAACAATAACATAAGAATTTCAGCTTTGCGGTTGAGTGTAATTGTGAAAAGCTTTTCTCCTTTTGTTTGCAGACTATGTTTCTTACAGGAAAGTTTTTCGGGTTCCTTTTCAGTCTCTCACTGAATTTATGGCTCTGTGAGACTGCAAGTGTAATCATTTGTAAGTAGCTTCATAAGTGTAATATAATTTGCATTACTATATATTCCACTACATCTTTGTCTTACATTGCAGTGGATCAACAAGAAGCTTCAGATATTAAAAGGGCTTATATCAATCCTGAGAAAACATATGCCGCTCGAAACTGCAAAGAACTCCAGAAAAAGTATTGTGTTAATGATGGTACGCTCATTTTATGTTAATATTTGATCTTAATCCACAACTGCAGTGAAGTGACTTATATTGCTTTTGTTGTTAGACGGCCTGTACTATCTGAAGTCCTCCAGAGGCGTCGTGTACCAGACCTTCTGTGATATGACCACTGCGGGCGGAGGCTGGACGCTGGTCGCCAGTGTTCATGAGAACAACATGTTCGGAAAGTGCACTGTTGGTGATCGCTGGTCTAGTCAGCAGGGCAGTGAACCGAACCGGCCTGATGGTGAAGGGACATGGGCAAACACGGTCATATTTGGAACTCCAGACGCCTCTACAAGTGACGATTATAAGGTATTATTATTAAATGTGTGGTTTTACAGCAATAGTTAAAGGGACAGAAAGGACACAAGAGTGAGAATGTTGTTGTAGATCTGAAACGATCGTCTGTTTCCCTTCTGTCACAGAATCCCGGATACTTTGACATCCCAGCACAAGATGTGTCCGTGTGGCACGTTCCTAATAATAAGGAGGTGGAGTCCTGGAGCGCTTCCTCCATCCTGCGATACCACACCGAAAATCACTTCCTAACTCTCCACGGGGGAAACCTTTACAACTTATTCAAGGTCAGAGAATGTTCAACACACTTTTTGAGTTTGAAACACTCACAGAAATACAACAATTGTGAAAATACAATAAATCTGTTTTTTTTTATATATCAGAAATTCCCGGTGAAGTTTGGCATAGGGGCATGCCTCACTGATAATGGACCTGTTGTTCCAATAGTGTATGACAACGGAAATGCCGAATACAACAGAAATCTCTATGGTCCCAATGCAAGAAGTATGGCTCTTTTTTTAATGTGTCCTTAAGTCACTTAAAAACAAATTCTTATTTACAACAACAGCCTGGCAAAACCTTTGAGTCAATATTTTCTTTAAAATATTTTCGACACTTTTAAAAAAGCCATGTCATGTGTTCATGGACGTATATTGACAGATTATCATCACTGATACTGTGTTTATTCTGTGCATTTTACATAATTGTTTAAAATGGTCTTATTATTATTAATCCTATTTCATAATGTTTTTATTTAGTATTTTATTACGTTTTTCTGTCAGTAATGCATTGTTTGTTTAACTGTACGTTTTATTACATTTCTGTTCTTGTGAAGCGCTTTGAGATACTTTTTAAAAGCACTATATAAAATAAAGTTGTTTATTATTATTATTTTCCCAGCAAATTTTCAGCCTGGATTCATCTCATTCAGAGTCTTCAACAATGAAAGGGTAGCCAGTGCTCTTTGTTCTGGTGTCAAACCAACCGACTGCAACACTGAACATGTGAGTCAACATAATATTCTGGATTATTTATAAATCACTGTTTATGGACATCATTTGTAAAAGTGATAGTTATACATTTACAATGGAAATAAATCAACTGCACCAATGTCATATTAAGAAGTGCATGCTGTTGTCAGTAATGTCCTCGTATTGTTGCAGTTCTGTATTGGTGGAGGTGGACACTTTCCTGAGGAGGCCCCTAAGCAGTGCGGGGACTTTGCGGGATTCGACTGGAACGGCTACGGTACTAATGTGGAATGGAGCGCTTCTAAAGAGATCACTGAAGCAGCCGTGCTTCTCTTTTATCGCTGACACTCACAGCAATCTGAGATCACCGCCAGCATCTTTTCCTTCTTTACAACATATTCCACATTAATTAACGCCTGAATTTAACATACACAATTATTTGCTCAAATGTATTTCTTTAAGATATATATCCAGTGGTTGTTAGTGTTCAGACATCAGATTAAAAATGTATGTTAGTTTGACTTCTAGGCTACAACATACTTTGACACAATGTTTAAAAAATAAATAAAAAAATAAGGACACAGTTATTGAAATATAATAATTCCATGACGCATTGAGTTATCAACAAACTAACAACCATATGTTTTGAGTAGATCTAAGTTTGCTTTGACAGTAACAAAGAAAGGGGGTTTCTGAATTTGCACGTTGAACCAATCATATTAGAGAAAAATGGTGTGATGATGTTGAGTGATGTGTTATGTTACCTTTACTGTCCCTATCCTATATAAACTCCTGTACTCTTCTTGCTGGGGGGATTCTCTCTGAAATGTGTGAGATCCTCCTAGCCGTGATTAAAGCATATTCAAAGGCATTGTCTGGAGTCTGTCTGTTACTGATGCACAGCGGGTTAGTGGAGCACTCACGCAATCGAGCCAATTCTCACGCACTCACGCCACACCCCCGATTTCTCACGCTACAGTGTCAAGTTGGTCGGTAAAATACCTGAAAGATGGGTTTATCAATAGGTCCTCCAGTTGAGCCACTCGTGATCGACTAGTTTTACCGCAAAATATCCTCTAATCTAGAGCGAGCGTGCATGCGAGACATGTTGAGCTCATAACGGCGCGGACGCAAAGCCAGGACTGGAGCAAAAGCCCGTTCCTCTCTACACTCTTAGCGTTCTGTTATCACTCCGCTTCTGTCCACTACGGGTTTTCCAGTCTCACTCACAGGAAAAACTGCTCCGTGTTCAAACGATTTTAAAAGATAATCTTATGTTTTATTTTTTATATATCACAGACGTCTGAATTTATAATACTACTAGTGCAAAGTGCCAGTGCAAAATCAGGTTTTGTGTGTTTTTAGTAATTGTTGGTTTAGTGTGTTTGAGTGCTAAGTCAAACTCGGCACTGCACCATAGCAAGACACCCGTCAAGTTTGAAATCCATCCGACTAACACACACACACACACACACACACACACACACACACACACACACACACACACACACACACACACACACACACACACACACACACACACACACACACACACACACACACACACACGTTCCTGTAATTTATAAATAGAATTCCTGCAATTTATAGATAGATGCAAAATGCCCGTGCAAAATAGTGCCCGTGTGCCCGTTGTGTTTTTAGCAATTGTGAACTTGGTTTGGTGTGTTTGAGTGCTTAAATGAATAAGCGCGACGATTCAGGGAGAAAATCAGTCAGTGTGCAGCGAGAGGGGGAGTGGCCAGCGGCTAGAGTGGCAAAAGCCCATGTGTGCTTCTTTTAGCGATATCTTTTGCATTTCTAATCCAAAGAACGTCAAACTCGGCACTGCACTTACTCGTGCCCGTAGCAAGACACTTGTCAAGTTTGAGATCCATCGGACTAACGGTTCAAGAGATATGCGATTAACAGACACACACACAAACACACACACACACACACACACACACACACACGTTCCTGTAATTTATAAATAGAATTCCTGCAATTTATAGATAGATGCAAAATGCCCGTGCAAAATAGTGCCCGTGTGCCCGTTGTGTTTTTAGAAATTGTTAACTTGGTTTGGTGTGTTTGAGTGCTCAAATGAATAAGCGCGACGATTCAGGGAGCAAACCTGCTGTCTCTGGTCCTGCGAGGTGCTCAGTCAGTGTGCAGTGAGAGGGGGAGTGGCCAGCGGCTAGAGTGGCAAAAGCCCATGTGTGCTTCTTTTAGCGATATCTTTTGCATTTCTAATCCAAAGAACGTCAAACTCGGCACTGCACTTACTCGTGCCCGTAGCAAGACACTTGTCAAGTTTGAGATCCATCGGACTAACGGTTCAAGAGATATGCGATTAACAGACACACACACACACACACACACACAGAGAGAGACAGACAGAGACGTTCCTGCAATGTATAGATATAGAAGATATGTAATGGCTTGAAAAGTATTCTACACGTTTAATACATTTTCCAGCGGCACCCAGGTAAAAAGAACAATTTTACAAATTCTATGAAAATTTTTAGTTTGCCAACAGTTAATAATAATAATAAATTCTTAAATGTATTATTAAATTCTTAAATTTAATTATCCTTGGTCAATGGATGTCCTTGAAATATTCTCATCAGTAAAAATACAGTATATATTTACAAATACTTTACAATGTAATATATCTGAGGTCAGGCAGTTTTTATTTAACTCTTATAAAGAACAATGGTTACGGCAGGTGTTAAATAAGCCTAAATTGAGAAGTTACGTTCACTTTAAGAATGAATATTTTGCAGAGCCTTATGTCAAATGCTGGCTAACTAGATCGCAGAGGTCTTTGTGTGCCCACCCAGCTCAGAGCTGGGGTGTTGCCCTTACAGATCGAGGTGGGACGCTATAAAGGTGTCCTAGAAGAGGATAGACTATGTGGTTTATGTGATCTAATGGTTGTTGAGGATGAATGGCATTTTTTGTTTTTTTGTCCTTTATATCACGAATTAAGAGTGAGTTTGTTTGAGAGGATTCAATGTAAAAAGCCTGATATGTTTTGGATGACGGATGGGGATATGTTGAATTGGCTCTTTGAAAATGAAATCTATAGTTTGGCTAGATATGTGGATAAGGCGTGGAAACTTAGGCAAAGAAATTTATATCCTGATATAATTTGACGTTGTCGTGTTTTGTTTTTGTTTTTTGTTTGTTTATATTGAGAAAATTATGGTAATGTGCCTTGTATGTACCTTTTGTGTTGGTGATCTTCTTGTGTTTTTTTTGTCTTTTTTTTGTATGATGGTCATCTTGTGTTTGGTGTATGTTTTATGTAATTAGTGTCTTCTAAGCCCATTTGGGCTGGGCATGTAAGTGCAAGACACTTAAATAAAAATAACTAACTAACTAACTAATGAATATTATTACCTATTATTATATAAGCCGTAAGCGAGCGAAAGACCTTACGTGTCTTTCGCAGAAACATGCACACGTTTTTTTATGTGTGCATTATTCATAAATCAGTCATTGGACTGTGTTCATGCTGTCTGTGGATGAGATGAAATTCTGTATGAAAATATTTACTTAAATGTGTTAATTTCATGTCAATATATATCACTAGCCTATATTTAATACATATATTTGTCCTACTTGGATATGTTCCCTCTTTTTCCTATTTGTAGTGGAGATGAGTGGTACCCGGTGGGGTCTTCTGCTGTTGTAGCCCATCCGCCTCAAGGTTGTGTGTGTTGTGTCTTCTTCACAAATGCTTTGCTGCATACCTCGGTTGTAACGAGTGGTTATTTCAGTCAAAGTGTCTCTTCTAGCTTGAATCAGTCGGCCCATTCTCCTCTGACCTGTCGCATCAACAAGGCATTTTCGCCCACAGGACTGCCGCATACTGGATGTTTTAACCTTTTCACAGCATTCTTTGTAAACCCTAGAAATGGTTGTGTGTGAAAATCCCAGTAACTGAGCAGATTGTGAAATACTCAGACACCAACAACCTAGTGATGTGACATTTGAAGCGAGGCGTCGGAGCTTGTGTCGAGCAAAAAGGGGCGTGCCAGATGAAGCCGCGATTCGAGGCTTGTGTTGTTAACGTGAAAATCACGTGACTGATGACAAACGAGGCCTCGGTTTGTGTGAAAACGTCATCGGTTCGGTCTGAGTGTCGTTTGTTCGAATCTCGCGCCACCTTGTGGGTGTTGTCAGGAGTAATTGAATCAGTTGAAGTAGCGCCAGGGAGTCAGAGTTAGAGAGATGTTTCATCGTCGTTATTGTGCAATATATGTGTTAGGGCTTTATATTATTACATTATTAGGTTAGATTAGTTATAGTTTATTGTTAGTATTAATTATAGCTATATTATAGTATTGTTATATTAATTAGATAAGATTATTTTGATTGCTTTGGATTTGGACTGGTTTTTGATTTAGATTGCCCTTTTGGAATTGTTTGCTTTTTGTGACCTTATCATTTTTTTCTTGTAATGGAGCCAGCAAGAAAGAGCTTATTATTATTTTACTGTCTTGATATAGCTAATAATCCTCACTATATGGCTGTATAATTTAATGTCTAAGCCTGAACACACTTCAGAAAAAATTCTATTCCTCAATAAAAATAATTTCTAATCCTTCCTTCGGTCCTCTACGTCCCCAGTCCCATAAGCACAACACAGCACAAAAATAGTAACAGTTCAATACACAAAATCACCAGAAACAATTCTTAACCTTTACCACACCACACTTTTTTCTGTTGCACTTCACTTTATTACACTCCCTCCACCATAAGCACTGCACTCAACAGTGTAACTTTTATTTTTCATACTGTCACTATCCAAATCATTTATGAATAATTAATTAACTCTGTGTGTGTGTGTGTGTGTGAGAGAGAGAGAGAGAGAGAGAGAGAGAGAGAGAGAGAGAGTTGTCTCTGTAGAAGTAAGTTCAGACAGAATATACATATTTTATTTTATTCCCAGGCAATGGACAAATGTCTGCTCAGGTATTTGTATTATTGCAAATGAAAGGTTACAGACATTAACAGTGAAAAGAAAAAAATAAAATAAAACAGGACAGGGGACATCATAAGTCTGCTCAGGTCATCGCTTCAGAATTAAATAATTTGTTTGCTATTTCTTTGCACAGTAGCTAGGTGTCACTAGTGAGCAATACTGAATGAAGCTTCGAGTAATGAACATTTGAGTGAAGCAATGGGCTGCGAGGTCTCAGTGGTTCAGGAAGCCTCATTTTGCCATCACTAGCCATCACTACCGCATACTGGATGTTTTTCCCTTCTCACACCATTCTTTGTAATCCCTAGAAATGGTTGTGTGTGAAAATCCCAGTAACTGAGCAGATTGGGAAATACTCAGACACCAACAACATGCCACGCTCAAAACTGCTTAAACGACCTTTCTTTCCCAGTTTGGAGTTCAGAAGATTGTCTTGACCAGGACCACACCTCTAAATACATTGAAGCAAGTGCCATGTGATTGGTTGATTAGATAATTGCATGAATGAGGAATTTAACAGGTGTTCCTCATAATCCTTTAGGTGAGTGTACACCTTGGCTCTTCCAAGCTTGATAACGAGACTGAGAGTGAATGGTTGTATGTCTTTAGAAGCCCATCAAAGCCTATATATTCATGATTAAAGTGCTTTAATGTCCATTACAGTTACTGCAAGTAATACCCTCAATTTACAAGTGCGATTAAAGAGTAGCCTACCAGTTTATTCTAGATTGAATGTGTTAGTGTCCATCAATGCGCTAATGACGCCATCTTGTGGTAAAGAGTGGCTATTCTCTTCAGTTGCCAGTGCCTGTAAGGCTCCAAACTGTTGTTAAATTCATATCTGTAAAGTATCATACAACTACTACACAAACAAACATGTTCATGTGAAATGTTCATGTCTCAAGCAATTTGATTTTATGAGACATTTAATAAATTTGGATAATTTTAATAATCAAAATTACAGCAATCCCGTCCTCTGATGGTTTGCTTTTACAGAAAAATAGGAATGTAAGAAAATGTAGGCATACAATTTACAATTCATGGGGAGAAGTGTTAAATGAGACTTGAATATTAATTAGTGAATAGAGCTAAGGCTAAATTGCTAATCAGTTTATTCAGGGATTTTAATGTTACTCATTGGCAGATTATAGCAATGCCTGGGACACTCATTAAAATGAATAAAAACTTAAGTCATAATTTCTAAAGATTAAACTCCAAGATTAAGTTTAAGAACTTTTATTTTGTACCACACAAACAAACATGTTCATGTGAAATGTGACCTCACACTCTAAAAAATCCTGTGTTGTTTTTAATACAATTATGAGTCAAATATCGTTGGGTTAAAAATTTTAATTTAAAAATGTTTAAATTGAATTTAAAATGTAACATTGGTTTTTGTCCATATTTGACCCAAAGTTGGGTTGAAACAACCCAGCATTTTTTAGAGTTCATGACAATTTAATTTCATGATCATCATTTTAACTCGAATATTTTTTTGTATTTTCATTTCTCGTTACGAAATGAGAAATGTAATGAGAACACTCACAAACCGTGTATCATCTTTCAGCCTAATTCATAAAGTATTTTAATCACCAATAATGAGCACGTTTTCTTTCATGTTTAAACAAACAAAATATGAACGATTTCTTTCTTCATTCTCACAAAGAATTGGGAAGAGGAAGAGAGTGGAGATGGCTCAACTAGGTAACATAAAAACAACATAATGGTTTATTTTAGTATGATATAAATTTGCCATATTGTTAAATGAAATGCCTCATTTCGAGGACGAGAAGCTGATTGTGGAAGACATGTAACAGTATTTGAGTGGGAAATATGAGTGAAATATGCAAAACAATGCTTGAAAATAACAGAAGATGTGGCTCAGTCTCTACTAAAGAAGTTTTTAATATTCTATCTGGCCTTTACAATATGTTGTCAATGAATTTTCACCTGAAAGCTGAAAAAAACCCAAACATGTTCTTTGCATGGCATTGCGTTTGGAAGGTCATTATTACCAAATATGACAACAGTGTTCTCCGTTATACACATCGGGAAGTTCGTCTGTTTTGGCCAAATAACTCAATTCAGACTAACTATTTCCCCTTCTTCTAAAAAGACTGTGAGTATACGCATATCCTAACGTAAATCATAATGTGTGGCTCTGATTCGTTGCATTATCTCTGATACATCAAACCTGCAATCTCAACAATAAAATAAAAGCTGCCTAACTGTATACTTAAAACGATTAAAAATACAGATTATTAGCAGCAATACCAGTTTACATGTTCAAATACAAATTCAATCTGTATTACCTCAAGTCTGGTAGGCGGTTCAAAATTAGGTAGGCCTAATTTTTTTCCCACATAATACTTTCCTTTAAAACAAATTCGTATTGCATTAATAAATACAGTCATCTGAACTAAATGCAAAAAAAAAAAAAAGCTTTAAAAAAAGTGAAAATTTAATCCGATGTCCCAGAGAAAATGCATTTTTCTATAGTTTTAAAATATTAGTTCCAAAATATTAGTTACGAATGACAAAAATGGAAAATTAATTAGTCTAATGAGGGAACAAGACTCGGTGCTTTAATTTTAGGTGACTTTTGTAAATAGCAGATTTGATGATTTCAAATAAATAGGTTGATGAAACTGATCACTTCCTGATGAACCTGACATATCATCACATGTTCACACACACACACACACACACACACACACACACACACACACACACACACACACACACACACACACACACACTCGAGTGAGCTCCAGATGCAACATCAAGAGAAGACACAAACCTTCAATCCTTCCTGTAAATGTTCATCAGGATGTGGATTTTCGTTGTGTTTTTCATCGGTGTTAAAGGTAAGATTTCTAAAACCTCATTGTTTTTGTCTTTCATTAAACTCGTTCATTGTGCTCTCTGGTTGCTCTCTTGCTGAAACACTCAATAGTTGGTCGTCTTTGCACTCATTTAGTACCTTTTTGAACTTTTCTGTTCTTGAAATTGGGTATTACTGCTAATATTCTTGGTTCCTTACCTTTATGTTTTTTCTTTTACTTTTGGCCATGTGAAATATACAGAACAAAAAGTTTCATAGTAAATGTGTTTAATAAAAGTTGCTGTTTACATCAAAATGAACGACGTCCCACGGTTTTAGGGTGAATCTCGAAAGGCCCCCTAAATCACAAAAGTGTGTTACCTTTTGATGCACAAACTGTAAATGTATGTTTTGAGTTGGCTTCTTTTTTACAAATAATTGTATATTCAATTGTAGTTTGAATAAATGGCTGAAGTTTGAAGTCTTTGTGGAAAAATCAGTGGGTCGACCTCTTTGTGAAAGTGGAAAAAAAAGTTTTGTTTGCGTCACATTAACGGAAGGGTGATGATCTGAATACTGGCAGCGTGATGAACATTTCCTCTGTGGTTCACAGGAAATCTCACCTACAATAAAACAACCAAGGAAGTGAAATCACCTGCAAGACAGAAGTAGACCAAACCATTACTAAAACACTGCAATCTTTTAATCCTTATAGGGCATATACTGTGCCTGAACATCTATTCTGTGTGTGTGTGTGTGTGTGTGTTTTTGGAAATTGCATCTGGATGGTTCGGTCATATACTTTTAAGTGTATTTTTTTTCCCCATAGCAAGTCATGAGACGATAATATAGTTTTTCTTGGCGGATACTATCTTAGAAATTTGAATTGGACATGTCAAAATCTATATTTAATATATATATATGCTGTATATTATAGTTTATAACAGCTAGTGATGTTCCTCATTTGTAAGTCACTTTGGATAATAGTGTAATTGTTTTATTTGTGTATTATAAGTGTATTTGTTTAATTGTAAAAGTGTAATTGAAAAAGGAACACCTGTTCAATTTCTCATTAATGCAATTATCTAATCGACCAATCACATGGCAGTTGCTCAATGCATTTAGGGGTGTGGTCCTGGTCAAGACAATCTCCTGAACTCCAAACTGAAAGTCAGAATGGGAAAGAAAGGGGATTTAAGCAATTTTGAGCGTGGCATGGTTGTTGGTATTTCACAATCTGCTCAGTCACTGGGATTTTCACACACAACCATTTCTAGGGTTTATACAAAGAATGCTGTGAAAAGGGAAAAACATCCAGTATGCGTCAGTCCTCCTGTGGGCCAAAATGTCTTGTTGATGCGAGAGGTAAGAGGAGAATGGGCCGACTGATTCAAGCTGATAGAAGAGCAACTTTGACTGAAATAACCACTCGTTACAACCAAGGTATGCAGCAAAGCATTTGTGAAGAAGACACAACACACACAACCTTGAGGCGGATGGGCTACAACAGCAGAAGACCCCACCGGGTACCACTCATCTCCACTACAAATAGGAAAAAGAGGCTACGATTCGCAAGACCTCACCAAAATTGGACAGTTGAAGACTGGAAAAATGTTGCCTGGTCTGATGAGTCTCGATTTCTGTTGAGACATTCAGATGGTAGAGTCAGAATTTGACGTAAACAGAATGAGAACATTGATCCATCATGCCTTGTTCCCACTGTGCAGGCTGGTGGTGGTGGTGTAATGGTGTGGGGATGTTTTCTTGGCACACTTAGTGCCAATTGGGCATCGGTTTAAATGCCACAGCCTACCTGAGCATTGTTTCTGACCATGTCCATCCCTTTATATCCACCATGTCCCCATCCTCTAGCTACTTCCAGCAGGATAATGCACCATGTCACAAAGCTCGAATCATTTCAAATTGGTTTCTTGAACATGACAATGAGTTGACTGTACTAAAATGGCCCCCACAGTCACCAGATCTCAACCCAATAGATCATCTTTGGGATGTGGTGGAATGAATGGATGTGCATCCCACAAATCTCCATCAACTGCAAGATGCTATCTTATCAATATGGGCCGACATTTCTAAGCACCTTGTTGAATCAATGCCACGTAGAATTAAGGCAGTTCTGAGGGTGAAAGGGGGTCAAACAGTATTAGTATGGTGTTCCTAAAAATCAGTGAGTGTATATCAAAGCTGAGAATGCAACCTTGAGAGAGAGGAACTTGTTAAATAAGATTGATGTATAAACAACAACTTGAGAAAAGGTGAGAAATTGTGAGTCTCACACACTTTTCTGCACACTGATGCAAATGTCCTCCAGTTTCAAATACTCACTGTAAAAAAAAAAAAAAAATCAAAACATATTTTCAGACAACCCATGCATTTTACAGTATAAAACTGCAATTTACAAACAAGAAATGTGTAATTTAAACTGGCAAAACCAACAAACCACACTGCTAAAATCTATTTTATACCTTTAACATACTGACAACCACCATAATTATGGTAAATGAGGAAGCCACATGAAGAATCATCACAAGTAGCATTTCCGCAAGCTGAATTACACTATAGAAGCTGCACAGTCATTAACGTACAATCATACTAAAATAATGCATTAAATATTCATTAAACAACTTTTTTCATAGTGTTTTTACAACATTTTACAGTAAAAATTACACTCTAAAATTAATTACACTCTAAAAAAAATGCTTAGGTCAAATATGGACAAACCCAGCTATTGGGTTACATTTTTAAATGACATTTTTTAACCCAATGTTTGACTGTCCATATTTGATCCAAAATTGGGTTAAAGCATTTTTTTGAATGTGCCGTTTGAACTGGGAATATCTACATCTGCAGCAGAATTGATTTAGGGCTGTAGCCGCTTTTTTTTTTAATCATTATTCCTATGGCAGCCCTATCAACGGAACATAGAAAAATGATGAAATTTGGCACACTTGTAGAGATGGTCATGAAAAGTAATCTGACCAATTTTGGAGTCTCTAGGACCAACTCTATAGCGCCATCACGAGTTCAAAAATTCACTTTTCTAAAGATTAACCCTTGCACAAAAATGTTATTTAGTAGTTCACCCGATTTCTCTCTTCACGCTAATCATTTAGCAATTGTAATCATATTTGTCTTGACTTCTAAAGAATACGAAACAAATGATTACAAACCCAATCCAACAGCATGTAACCCATATTTAATGCATTGTTTCAGGTCTGGTGAATGGTGAGTGGGTAAAGACAGTGATGGAGGGAGACTTTCTGACTCTACATACAGAAGCTGAACCGGAGAAAGACTCTGAGGCAGTGTGGTTTTTTAAAGGAGAACATCTTACCACCCGTGTAGCGCAGATGAATAAGGGAACAGTTACATATTTTGAACAGGGACTTTCTGGAAGATTGCATCTAGATCAAGAGAGTGGATCTCTGACCATTTGGAACATCAGTACCAGTGATTCTGGACTTTATAAAGTAACTCTCACCATGAAGTTATATATCTCTGAGATGAAATTCAAAGTTAATGTGTATGGTAAGTTGCAGCTGCTGCACATTTATTATACATTACATTATTATTGTTGTAGGTAAAGGAAGTCACTTAGGATAATTCACCCGAAAATTTCAATTCTATCGTTATATTTACTCTCCCTCGCCTCGTGTCGTTCCAAACCCTTAAGACTTTCATTCATCTACGCATCACAAATGATTATGAAGATTTTTTTTTTTAATCTTCATTTGTGTTCCTAGGAGGAATGGGTTTGGAATGACATAAGGGAGAGTATGAATGACAGAATTTTCATTTTTGGGCTGAACTACCCCTTTTATGAACAAATCTCATATGGTTTCTGCAAAATGTCCTTATTAAAGGATGCACGTTTCCTCTTGTCCTGAAGCACCTGTCTCTGAACCTGCTATTGAGTGCACCTCATTGGTAACTGTCGACCAATCTTCAGGTGAGTCTTTTAAATCAGTTCATTCTGTTGCCATCTTGTTTTTTATGTGCCTCTCTTGACTTCTATCATTGCTGGGCGAAAGGGGCATGTGTTTATGTGTCATCAAAGCCATATGCTGACAGAATAAAGACCTGGTGAACTTTAACACTGAAATGTAATTATGAAAAATCAATCTACCAGGTACTATAAAGCAGCCTCGAGCATCTGAGGAAATATGCTCTGTGCTTTGCTCTGTGAGAAACGATCGAGACGTGTCCATCTCATGGTATAAAGGGAGTGAAATGATGAGACAGACCAGCAATCCTGATCTCAACATCATCCTCAGTTTACCATTAGAGCTTCATTGTAATGATTCAGAGATCTACAGCTGCACGGCTGAAAATCCAGTGAGCAACAAGAGCGTCCGTCTTCTCACGAAAGAGATCTGCCAAAGACATGAAGGTACAAAATTCATTTACCACAGAACTCTCTTCCTGCCACAGTGACCTCTTCTGCTTCAGTTTTTCCACAAACAAAGACATATGATGAGACAGATGTTTATTAATAAGTCTCTTCTGTTTCAGATTGTCTGGATCATTGTTGTGGCGCCACTATTCGACTTGTTCTGTCTGCTCTAGTAGCAATTGCCACTGTTTACTTTCTGGTTGACCATGTAAGGACCTGCTCATTTGAGAGAAAAGCTGCTGCTTCTGTTTAATGATACTTTCATGAGAATTTGGTGGTTGTGAACTAGACATGGACTGTGTGAACTCAAAGGGTTGAGGTGTAAAAAACATCTAATTTAGTCCTCAGTTGTTCCCTTGGATGGTACCAGCTATGATATGTAGTAGCCCATGCTACACCTAGGCTAATTGCCATGCAAGTACATAAAATGCACAGAAACTTTTATGTAGCCTATAGTTTTGTATATATTGTTAACAAATGAATGTGTTTGACTGTTATTATCATTAATAATGTATTAAAGTTTTGGATAAAACTTTATACTTTGTCCAGTGTTTGAGAACGACAGCACAATACCGGCTTTTTTAATCAAGAACGATTGATTTACATAAAAAAAATAGATTTTACCCTCGTTAATGTCTTTCACTAATTCAGAGTCTATTAAAGTTTCCTCAACTTTCCTCATGTATAAAAGATAGTCCATTACGCTGCTTTAACGATGAATCAAATCCCACGTGACATCTGTTACTTTTCTCATCAGTAACCCGTATGAACAAATCGCTGTGGTTTATGATTACTCGATGAGGCACGTTTAAAAACGGATTACATATAGAAATACTCGGCGAATTTTCATGTTTTTGACATATTTGAATTTGTACAATGAGTAGATGTGAAATATTACACTCGTTCCAGTAAAAACACCCACAGTGAAGACAAAAACCAAGCGGATATTTGAACGAGGCTCAATGGAGAATCGGTTCTCCGGTCCGCGAGCGCCGCCTAGTGAAATAATGGTGTAACGGGAACGGACTTTTGATCGATTGGAAGGGCGGGTTTCAGGAAAGCGTCTTTGATGACGTATTGCCGTGAAGATGGCGGAAGTTCATTCCTGATCTGAGCCGCCGGAGTCGCTTGGTACGGATTCTGTAATAAACTATTTCAGGACGGTTCGGTTCGTCTTCACGTCACACATCTGACCCAGAGACAGATTCAGGTAAGAAACGGTCATCTGTTCGAGGCCGTGTCGTAGTTCACCGTCTGTGTTTGTTCTTATCATGTGTACATTGCGTTACAGTGACACTGAGTCTTGTTGACAGGTTAACTAATCACTTTGACTATTTCAATCTCATATAAATAGCTCGTGTTAGACAATGAGAGTCAGAGGGAATCAACAACGTGACTGAATATGTATCTGTGAGTTTGTTGTTTGTAGTCATGATCGGGTCATGTATGATGAACACATGTGGCATGTTTAATACCCTAATATCAGATGGTCGGCTTCAAGTTTGTTGTTGGTTTTGGTTTCAGCTGATTTGACGATTTAAATATTTCCAAGCTAAACCGGTTTGACCTGAAGCTCACCTGTCCTCCATTATTATTAGCGAAAGACCGCGGTATCTCCCTAGTTTTACCGTTTTTTTTATTTGTCATTAGCCACCACTGTCATCCAAAACAACATGGTAATACTATGGTACTTTGATGCCATGACATGGTATTAATATGACCATAATTACGTCAAAGTGCTTCCTCAGGAGTTTTCATATCTTTTATGTCACTGACCCCACAAATAGGATCATCCTAAAATCCAAAAGACAGCTACATATTTTTGCAACAGTGCAAAAATGCAAGTTATCAATGTATAAAATAATTATTTTTTTATTATTTTACTTTATTTTATTTTTCTACTTGTAGATGTAAGTTAGATGTATTTTTTTAATTCTAGTAAAATGTTTTATAAATTGTATTACTTCGCCTGTCTAAATTGATTTGGTCAGTTACTTTTTATTTATTTTTACACCACTTTTCCTATTTTTATTAATTTTAATCCTTTAATTCATTTGAATGTTTCTTTATTAATTTAAGTTACATGTATTTTATTAGTTAATTATTTTTGTATCAAATTTTAATAAAATGTAATTCATTTATTTATTTTTACATTTAAATTTACACTGCTTTGGTTATTTTTATGTATTTATTCTAATTTAATGTATTCAATAATGTTATTTAAATAAACAATAATTAGTTAATGCATTATAACTGACATGAACTAACAATAAGCAATAGTCTTACAGCATTTATTGACCTTTGTTAGTGTTTGTGTATGTTAATGAATTTTAATGTTCACAGTGCATTTTAACAGATAAAACTTACAAATGTGATGGTAAAATTTCGAGATTATTTAATAAATGCTGTTGAAGTATTGTTCATTGTTTTACTAATAGTTTTTTTTTTTTATTTCTTTAGCACAAATAAACACAACAAGAGTTGGCCAATGTGCTTTACAGAGTAAAATGTAGTTAACTGAAAATGAAACCTTATTTCAAAGTGTTACCAAAAAAAATGTGACTATATTACCTGATTAATACAGCAAACAATCGACAGATTAATGTTTACCAAAATAATCATTAGTTGCAAACCTAGATTTGATTATAAAATGCAAAGTCCCGTGATCTCACCATCTGACGGTGTGTTTTTGGCTTTAAAACTGCATTGCTATGCGGTTGTTAGGGTGTTCTGCATGGTTGCTAGGTGGCAGATCTCTGATACACGAAATCTCTCGGGTTCTTCTGTGTGTTTTTTATTTTGTCGTCACAAACCCTCCCTTCTCCTCCTCCCCCTGACAGGTAGCCCCGCCCCTAAACGCACGCTATTGGTCGAGTCAGACGTTGACATGTCGAGTCATTCAAAGCGTCACAGAGTGTTTGACTCTTCAGGTAGTCAAACCTACAAATGATTAACATCTAATGACTGAACATTGCAGACAGTGCTGGTGTTGAGAAGACGACACACTTCTCCTTTAAGAGGAAATATCTACTTTGATTTTCCAGAGCAGATTCTCTCTATAAAGGACTTTAAAGGATCATGTCAGTCGTGATCTCTAACCTGGAGATTTAAAACCGTGTGTGTTTCCTCTGGGTTCGGCCCGTCGCCTGTTATTGAGGCTCGACACACGATCAGTGATGAATAATTAACCCAGAGATCAGCTGGAGTGAAAGTTTATTCAGATCTTGTGTGAGACACACACGTGAGCGTCTCGGTTTGATCTCGGATGAAGCTGTGTGATGTAACCGGAGGAGAAGCAGCGCCTGTAATCTGGGGTCTCTTTACAACACAGAAAGAAAACTATCAACACTTTCATTGCTAGTATATCTAATATTTGCACTTCTCCAAAGATTTTGCAGTGATTGTGGATTTTGTTTCATCATTGTGGAATATGGTGAGCTTGATTTGTTTCAGTTCCTTCGTCATGTTTGGATATGCCATAAATTCCTTGAAAAAAATGACATTTTTTCTTTTTTTACCGTCATCCAATCTGACCTAGTTTACTTACTAACTCTTTTTTTACTGTTTTACTTCTTACATTAAACATTTGAATCTATCTGGTGATCATAATGATGGTTCCTCTAAATAATTAAGCCCTTCTAATTAATTTCTGAATAAGTCTACTGAAAATTAGTCTGACATATCTTTAATATTTTTTAAATATCTATTTTTGAATACTTTTATTCATTAATGATGCATTTAATTGACCGTAACGATATAACTTAAATGCTGTTCTTTTGAACTTTCTATTAATCATGAAAACAAATGTTTCCACTAAAATATGATCAGCACAACTATTTTTATAATTGATAATGATCATTAATGTTTCTTGAGCGTCAAATCATCATATTAGAGTGATTTCTGAAGGATCATGTGACTCATGATGCTGAAAATACAGCTTTGATCACAGGAATAAATTACATTTTAAAATATATTCACATATAAAACAGATATTTTACATTGCAATAATATTTCACAATTTTGTCTGTATTTTTGTTTTAAAAAATGGCCGCTTTAAATCCGTATCTGAAGTGCAGCGCAGCTTCACGTGTTAAAACCATAGGTTAAAACAAACACCACGAGGCGTCAGTGATGGGTTTATTTGTCCTCTAGAGGGCGCTCGCGTACTATATAATTATATGAAAACACGTTCGGTAATGTACTGTATAATATACCGTATGTTTTAAATCCGTATCTGGGGAATATTCGTTTCTCTAAATACAAATAACCATAACGCCACAGAGGAACGGTATCGTGGGAATCACTTTATCCAGCGGATGAACGATTAAAACACTGACAGCCAATCAGAATCCATCATGCAGTCACGAGCTGGAGCATTTAAAGTGACAGACACGCACAATATCATCCGCTGGTGTGGTCGCTGATATAGTTATCGTTCTTGGTGTGAACGGGCTTTTACAAAGTAAATTGCAGAACTGTATATTGCTTTGTGTGATGCTTTATATCCAACCAAGCAGGTTTGTAACATTTGAAAGATACACAAATGTGTGTGTTCTTCGTCCAGAATAAGCTGCATCATTAATCTCGTGTGTGTTGTTGCTCACAGGTCTCAGCGTAGCTCTATGTCATGGCCTGCAGTGTCGCTAAAGCAGGTCCTACTAATGGCTTCCCGATGAAAGCACAGCTGCAGATCATGGGTACGTTTGCATGTGTTCCCACCTGTCACCATCTGACACTTCCTCGTCAGCTGACCGGCCCAATGCTGGACTTCAGTCCCACTTTAACATATGATAATATTACACTTCTAACAGTGCTGAACAGCTCCCAGTCTCTACTATCTTAAATAAAAGCCCCAAAAATATGTATTTTTTTTTTGCTTGAATTCATTGTTGATCTCCAAACTAAGGAAACTATCTTCAGGATAGTGCATGACTGTTAATATAAGCAATGCTAAAAATGTTAATGCTTATTTTCTGTATAGTATAGAAAGTTATTAAACTTCCTGATAGTTTTAATACTTTAACTTATGGTTTATTTGGTTTTGCTGAATTGCGTAAAACACTAAACCACTGACTGTGACCGAACTAGAAAACATCTAAAGTAACTTTTATTTTGGAAATGGTTCTTTTTAATGCCAAATATGTTTGTTAGCACAAAAAAAGTCTTGACCCCTTATCATAATATCTCATGCTTCTGAATAGGACCTGTAATTTTACAATTTGTGTTTTGAATTATATCACTAGTATTACTATTATTCGTTTCTTTTATATCAAGTAATTAAATATATTTATTATTTAAAAAAAATATTATTTTCATTATAACATGATAAAAAATTGGATTTTAATAATTTTTTTATTAAATTTAAAAGTTGTTTAATTTTTTTAAAGGGTTATTTAAACAAAACTGTTTTATTTACATTTTGTGCTTAAAAACATTTTTGATAAAAGGGTCTGATATGACGTCACTTTATAATATGCAAATTTGTGCATATTTTTTGCACATTATTTTTAATAGGTACCGACCTGTAATTTTACATT